CGTGGTTTGTTTAACATTCAAGGTGCCTGCACCATCCAGCAACTAGTTCCATACTCAGTCCCATCAAAGCTGGTCTCCTGAATCTACCAGCAGCCCTCCTGGCCAGCTAACCACAGAACATTTCAGCTGGATATACTGCTGCTGTATGAAGACACCAGGAGAGAAGAAACTGTGATCTTTCAGTCAATTATAAAACTTGAGGCAGGCTTTGGATTGGTGGAAGAGCAATGCAGATATAGGAGGATTCAGGTAAATGTGCTAACAGAAACTCCTTTACAAAACTGATGGGCTGTTACCTTTTCTCTCTTCCCTGTTAGTGAGCAGCTCAGAAGGCAAAGGACATGCACCAGCACTCAAGGAGAGACAAAACCCAACCTGGGGAATGATTTATCTATAGTCCTGCAGTTTGCAAGTGAAAAGAACAGCCCTTTTAGCTTCAACAGACTGAGGCCATAAACATGCTTTTTACCACAAGGAAAAAAACACGGCAGGTGTGGCTTGTTAAGAAGCAAACACAGCACTGACAATTATTCACTGATACACCTGTGACACTTCCATGTGACAATTACCTTATTGACCTTGAAATAAAACCATTTATGCAACTGTAAGGACTTTTCTTATTTACAAACAATACTAACTGAATCATCATGGCTCTGTTTTCAGTAGAGCAGCATAGTGGCTTTTACTTTTAAAAATCACAAAATATCAACTAAGAAACTAAGTCTGCCAAAAGGCTGCACATACAGAGTACATTTATTTTCCTTTAATGTCCATATATATGTATCAAACATAGGAGCTCACAGAGTACACATATATATATGTATAACCACTAATTTGTGGGAACCTGCTTTTGTTCCTGATTTTTTGAAGGTGCTCCAGCCTTTCTTAAAATCAAACATTTTACCAACTGATTAATGGAAAACAAGGGATGTTACCTTTCGAAACAAAAAGTCACCACACAACCCAAGTTAACAAAATTATGAAGCCTTTGCTTATCAGAGGATTGTTAAATAAGAAACTCTAGAGATCAGGATATTAATGTAATGTATGGAGAGAGTGAATACAGTCTCCTGGAAGATGTTTTTGCCTGAGATGAGCTAGAAGACAAATCCTCAGATTAAATTTTCATCAGCAGATCTCTGTATTTCATCAATCTTTCATTATGGCATAGCTTAGAAAATCATCTGGTCAGGTGTCATTAGAAAACCTCTTCATCTTCCAAGCAAAAACTACCCAAATAAATTAGTACAAGCAGAAGAGAGTTAAAAGGAGGGCCTGCAGATCGTTTAGGGGTTCAACAGATCAAAATACAGGGAAATACACATTTCTACAATATTTTAAAATCGAAACACTACCTTTCACAACAAATCCAATATGTTTTTTATACAGGTTCTTGGACTAGAAGATACAGCTAATTAACAAAAGTCAAGTGCAACAACTTCTGGAAGACCTTCATCCCGGAAACTGGGATGTCACTAACTTTGTGGATGCTTAATCCATCAAAGCAGCAATGTGATCCCCTCACTTTTTTTCTGATGATGGCAAACTCATAATGAGGGAAAGTTGCTTTTGCAGTCAGTGAATGGCTCTGGTATTTCTCACCTCAGTAGTAACAGGTGATTTTACCAGGATGAGCCCAAGGACTGTTTGCTAATATATACGTGAAAAGAGATGCAGTGCAATTTCCAGCTCAACAATATGTTTTTCTCAGCTCGTGTTCTCCTGTCACCAAACGCTTCTTTCTTGCGTTAGTGCTTTTTCAGCAAGCGCTACATCGTTTATGCTACCTTTCAAAACATGTTTCCTAGACTAAACATCTCTATGCCCAAAACACATTGTACATCTGATTATTCAGTCATAAGTTTGTTCTTTCTGCTTGTCCTTTGGATCTTCTGCTATTTAACATCACCTGCAGTCTGAGTTTACTTACAAATAATGGCTACACTGCTTTTCCTGTAGTCTTAGTTTTTAAAATGTGTCAATAAAATATTGAACAAATTACATTTCAAAAAGGGTGGGCTCCAGTCCTGAAAGTTATTCTGGACACAGTATTTCTGTAGAAGCACCTATCAAGATGATTACAAAGGGCTAAGAATAGGAAAGCTCTGAAATCAATCTTATGAAAAAAAAATAGATTCCAACAAAAGTGGCTAAGAACATTATTGTGCCAGCAAATGAAATATTAAGGCTAGTTTTGATTGCGTGTTTAATACATAAACACAATATATAATAAACTTCAATAAACTATTTCTTGTTGTTACTTACAGCAATCAATCTAGAAAAATCATATTCTCTTGAAACAAGAAATGTTCCCTTTGAACACAGAAAGGCCCACTCCCATTACTGACAGTAGAAACATGAAAAAAGGTTAGTTTATTTGCTCTTCCAGGTTCTCTGTGTTGTCAGTGTCGCAAAAACAACACCTTTTCAGGAAAACAGTTGAGAAAGCTTCTACTTTCTATGACCAAAAGGTAGAACTAGATTTGTTTGAGGGGTTCTTGTTGCTTGTATTTTTTAAATTGGATCTGTACTTCTCCCACATATGCCATAACTGAGTATTTTTTTTTTCTTAATAGAGATGTGAGTTTTTGCAGAAGTCTCAGCAGAACTGGAATGCATCTTTGACCCCCAGATACAGCATGTAAACGGGCAGGAGTGGGATCAGAGATGCTATTTCCTGTGCCCAGTACATAGTTTTTGGTAAATGCTGTGGGATATCATGGCAGATCTGTAGGTCAGAGCAGACAGAATGAGGTCCACACACGATCTTTCCCAGCAACTCCTGCCCTACTGATAGGGCTTATATTCATCTAGAAGAGTCTGCTATTGCCTCCCAACTCCAGATATATTTCACCAAAAGCTAACAACATTATTGGTGTCACTTGGTAGCAAAAGGCATATTTCTCTTAAATGTTCCCTTAAAACATTTATGATTCTATGACCAGTTCTGTCTTTAGGAGAGGTAGGTACCCAGCCTGAGGAAATATGACCCATTATCTTATTTTATAAACAACATAATGGAATTATTTTATTTTTCAAAGAAATGTAAGTATTTGGAAAAAGAACTGTAAATCCTTCCAAAAAAAATGAATGAAAATTAAAGCTGGCTTCCTTTAGTCTGTAAAGCTGCATCACACTTAGGTGCCCCTTAAGATGCTCTATTTATTTTTTGACCGAACTAGCAAGCCACTACAAAATCTGACTTGAAGGGAAATGTGCAATGCGACCATTTCCTAATGCAAACAAAGCACTCTAATGGTTTATTCATAAGAAGTTAAAACCTTTTTACTTTGCAGCATTTCAAACTGGATTTCTCCCTTTTAGATCTCTCAAAAATCTGGATCAGTTAAAAACCAGTTAACCTGCCCCCTCCAACTATCAGTCACTTATAAAAATAAAAAAATTAGAAAGAGTCACCCTTCCTCTTGGAAATTTAGCAATTGATAATCTGAAACTTTGAGGAGGATTATAGAAGCTTCAGAAAATCTTTTACTGGTTTTCAGGGCTGCAAGTGCACATTGCCAGGTCACGTCCAGCCTCTCATCCACCAGCATTCCCAAGTCCTCCTTGGCAGGGCTGATCTTGAGCTGTTCATCCCCCAACCTGTATATACTGGGGGTTCCCTGACCGAGGCGCAGCACCTTGCACTTGGTCTTGTTAAAACTCATGAGATTCCCATGGGCCCACTTCTCGAGCTTGTCCAGGTCTCTCTGGATGGCATCCCGTCCTTCAGGTGTGTCAACAGCACCACTCAGCTTGGGGTCACCTGCAAATTTGCTTAAGGTACACTCGATCACTTCATCTATGTCGTTAATGAAGACATTAAATAATACTGGTCCCAACAGGGACCTCTGAGGGACACCACTTGTCACTGATGTCCATCAGGACTCTGAGCTGTTGACCACTACCCTCTGGATGCAACTGTCCAGCCAATTTGTTATCCATCTAACAGTCCACTCATCAAATCCATCTCTCTGCAATTTAGAGGGAAGGATGTTGTGGGGGACCATGTCAAAGGCTTTACAGAATTCCAGATAAATGACACCTGTAACACTTCCTTAGTCCACTGATACAGTCACTCCATCCTAGAAGACCACTAGGCTCTAATCAAATATAGACATAAACAGCAGCAGCTTGTTAAGTGTTACTCAATCCCTACTACCCATGTGTCAGGATGGGTAGTGTCCTAAGATCCTGGACTTACTCCATGTGAATGGCAATGTTTTTGCTAGGTCAAAATTCCAAGTGGGACAGGGAGACAGCTCGCTCTCCTGCTCCAAGTCAGTCACTTTCACAACCCTGTTCCCACAGCGATGTTACCTGACAAAGAAGGATGTTACCAAAAGAACACCAGTCAGGAAGGAAAACTAAGGAAAGACTGCCTCCAGGGCAGGAAGGCCTTTAGCACGTACTCCTGGTTGTTTCCTACAGAAAGGAAAAACTTCAGCTCCCAGGCAAGCCACATTTCATGGACAAATCTTAGTATTCTGCAACACCCCCGGGAATTTTCTTCCATCAAGAGCTAGAAGTAATGGTAATGGCTTAAAACCATTATTTTTTCCTCAATCCAACTTTTTTCTCCATCAAATCAAATATCTCAAGAAAGTGGCAACACATGCATACAATCAGAGCATAGGTGGCACATTTAACTTGGACAAGCAGGAAGAAATGCTTTCACACAGCCAAGAGAAACATACTATAGGACATATTTGAAAACATGGTTTTATACTAAAAAGTATTACATGTATCTGAAACAAAACAATGTTGTGTATGCAGTTTTATGCACCTGGCTAAATTAATCTGAAAGGTTTGTTGAATATGGGTTTAGCAAAGCAGCATGTAAGTGATACACTATGAAAAGCAGAGTTTAAAAAGTAACACTAGCAAGAAAATAAGAATTTACCCACCTTCCCATAGCCCCAGAACACACTTATATGTACTCTGTATCAGTAGACCAAAACAGCACCAAGTCAAGAGGGATAAGGAGAGCGAAGACTTACCGACCATTGTCACGGCCCACACCCCAGACTCTGATGCTCACAATGGGCTGCGAGTGCAGAACTGTGCGGTCCATGGGATCAATCAGGTTCAGCATGTCATTTTCCAGTATAAGGTACATGTCTTTGCCCTGCAACTCCAGACAAAGTACAGTTACACAGTACATCCCCCTCTCAAACCAACTGGGCTCAAGGTGCTATGCCTGTGCTGTTCAGACTTGCTTCCTCTTAGTTTACTCAAAGTTTTGGTTTGTTCCAAGAGCAATTGAAAACTAGTTCATATACTTCCAGTGTGAAAAAGATGTAAGATACTTTCTTTCTACTACATGTTTAAACAATGCCAATCACAAAAGGCTTTGATGTATTTTAAATGCAACTCATTCAAGCCCAAGCTATTGAGTTCTTCAACAGATTCTGTGTTCATCTTTTCTTCAGTAGATTCTTCCAAATACATGAGAGGTCACAGTCTGTCTCAACAGCAAAAGCTTATATCAAAACCTGTACCCATGAGGCAGAGTTCCTTCTTTCAAAGTGTTTTGTTTCCATAAACTTTACCAAGGGATTATGGGAAGAGACAGCAATTTGTATGTGTCAAAGGATTTACAAAATACTCTTTGAAGAATGATTAAAGGGGAAAACCTAGCATTAAGACCAGATTGTGAATTCTGCTAGTGATTGCAGAATCCTGGAGCCAGGATTTCCCCCTAACTCTTTGGCATGTAAGAACAAGGATAATGCTTTTTCCCTTACAGAAAACAAATTTAGAGACAATTTTCCTTTTGATGCTAATTCACAAATGCTAATCTTCCCCCTACTGCTAGCATTTGTAATAGGTCTGCTGCCTGTCCTATCACACGTACTACCTCTCTTCTTGGAGGCCGTACACATACTCTGCAGACCATGAGATCCCACAGAAGTGATCCTGGACCTATTGTTGAGAGTTAAGACAAGCTCCTGCCAATCAGAAGAAGGTGGAACCTATGAGCTAAACACAGAGTAATTTGTTTCCTCTCTATTGTGCCAGAATCTATAAACGAACAGAAAGAATGGAAAGGATCTGACTCTCTACTGACAAATGTTTCAAAACCAATCTTTTCCTTCACCTCAGTGTCACAGAAACCCTCTTCTCGCTTGGTTACAGTGGCTCAAGTCTCAATGATGTCTAATTTTGTGTCTGGCTAAGAAATAAATTCATGTCACTCTGGGAGCCTTCTGCCACAGTTTGTTGGCTAGGCAGCATGGGGCAGGCACTGCCCACCTCCTTCCCAACCCAAGATCTCCTAACAGTGAATCAAAGAGGAGCTGTGACACAGAGCTGGCAGTGCAAGTGCCAAGAGGGATGTGGGAGAGATAGGGGACACCTGGTATATTGATGCCAACACAAGAATATTTTGCCTGATGGGAAAAAGTACAGCTGTGGCAGAGATGCAAGGCTGTATATATAGGTTGCTCCTAGAGAAGCAGAAACAGATGTAGCTGTGATAGTCATGCACAAAAATGGGGCAAATCAGCAGCACTGAGCTGCTAGCGACATAGAGAAAAAGAAACATGAGTAATAAAACACAAAAGCCAGGATGACACCAGACAGATCAGGATGATGAAGGAAACCAAAGAGAAAACAGAGTCATCACAAAGAAAAAGTGGGAAAAATTTGCTTGGAGGTCAAAAGCAGTAAATAAATTGTGTGAAGAATGTTGCCAAATGTCACAAAGATTGCTTTTTGGATCCATTTTCTACTTAAATATTTGTTCCAAAAGGAAATTATTACAAGAATGTAAAATCTGTTCATCATGCAAAATATACTGGGATTAGAGTAATGAAACTGAAACCAAATTAGCTGGAAAAAAATTGGAGAACGGGCAGATAAGCAACATAAGTCACAGGAAATTATCCTTGTAATGCTCAAGGGACAGCTTGTCCACAACCAGAAACAATATATTTTGCTAATTTTTGTAGCCTTATTATACAAAAGCTATTTTAGAGATGGAAACACTGCATAGGGCAAAAAGACATTATTTAGACAGACTGGGAGTTTGAGCATAGGCTTTAATGTCTCAGACTGCTGAAGAGCTGCTGAGATCTCACGGTTTGAGATGAGGAAAGGGAAGAGCCATGCAGAGAAAGTAAACAGAGGGAAGAGAGGCTCAATGCCAGCACATGACCCAGAAGTGTTACAGGCTGAGGTATATAGGTCAATGGCAAGAATGCATCTTTTTCATGTAAGTGATATTGTAACGTACAGAAATATAATGCATGACAGAAGAGCAACACAAACAGATGAGTAGCGTTTTTCTTTTTAGATTTTACAGGACAGTAGACGTTCAAAAGTTACAGGGAATTTCTTTTGGAGCAAAGGGCATGAAATCCCACGTTAAAGCCAGTAACAAAGCTTCTGCAGGGTCAGGATTTTAACCAGGGTATGGGAGTTTTTGTGTTTTTTTTTAAATCATGAAAACTTGGTGATGGTCCTAGCCCCAATTTCACTTTCATTACATTCTAGTTAAAGTAAATCTTTAGGCAATCTTAAAACCCCTATCTGCAGTCATCAGTTCTAGTCTCCTAATAGATTTCTGCTATAATTGCTCCATCTGATGGAGCTGTCAGTGACACAGCACTATTTTTTTCAGATTCCTCTCTAAAACACACCTCTTCCAATCACTCTTGAACCTTTACATAGCAAGCAGAAAAATGTGGTTGGTTATAATGAATTCTTTTAAAATCAAGAATACAATTTATTTCAGGAGCCACCTATTAAAGCACATTGTCTCTATTGTTTTGTCAGGCTGATTTTTTTTTTTAACAAATAGCAGTCTTAATTGAAATATCCATTCAAGAGGACCAAAACTTTTCAACAGTTTGGCTTAAAAACCCACAAGGGTTTCCAACAGAGAACAATGGAATAGACAGAAATATGGGAAAATGTGAACATTAACTCTTAAAACAAAGCACATGCAATCAAAGTAAACAATATATTTCAAGTTGACGAGAGTTCTGTCATCTGAAATATGGGTGAGATTACACACATGTAAAGACACTGGGGTTTTCCTCCTCCTGGGATCACCAGTAAGTCCAAAGTCCATGACTGACACACCTGTAATTGCCTGTCTAGCTAAATTATCTAAATAAAACTGATCCCAGATGTAAGAAAAAAGGGAAACCTATGTTATTTTGTTCATTTATATATACAATATTTATTTCTTACATAGAAAAATCCTTCTGAAATTATTTGAAATAGATGGAACACTATAAATGAGCTCCTTAAAACATAATTTTAATTTTCAAAGAGGCACTTGCTCTCTGTAGCACCTTGGCACTGCTGTGGTCATAGCCAGGATACTGGACTTGAGCCTTAGACTGCAACAATGACTTGGGAGACTGACTGATATTTTTCCTAAAATATTCATTTAAATAGACAAGTCTTTCTTTAATTTCCTTTTTGTCTGGCAGTGCCATTTCTCTTAGATCACACAAAGGAAGTTACAACATTCACTCTTTCATCACTTATATATTCAGATCTTGTGTGGCAAATCTACACTAGTGTAGCCCTCCTGAAAACATGTCAGGAGAGAGGTAGAGAATAAGATTTGGCTGAAGTTTAAGTTGTTCCATGAACAAACAAATAACAAAAATGTTTTACTGTGTCTCCTATGCCCCCTGCACCTCCCACCTTTTCCTTTCTTGTTTCACGTACTCCATATCTTCCACTTCTTCATCTGTCCCCAGCACACCTATTTTTCACACCACAAAACCTCAAGCTTCCTTTAGTTTTCCCCCTGAGTTCCCACAGCATTATCCTGCCTCTGCTGCCAGTTCAGAAAGCACCATAGAGTTTGCCAGGTTCAGTTGATGAAGGTGCACCAACCCTCCAGCAAACCGAGAGCTGGGCTCTCTGTTTTTCCTTCAGTGTGTGGGAATTCAGCATCCTTCAAAACTGGATGACACTGGTGCACAGATTCAAGAGTTACTGGAGAGGAACTAGAAGACAGACTAATGACATACAATTAATTTCCTTCTGAAACACTGATAAAATAATCATCTTAAAATAAGCCATCTGTCCGTCAGTCCCAATCTTTTCATATGTTTCAGAAGCACAGGTCATGCCAGTCTGGGTTTCCCCAAAGCTCTCTGTCACAGGCAAACCTTCGAAAATGCTGTTCTAAAGCACTACTCTCAAACTTCTTGAAGACTTGCACTGAATTTCAACAGTTTGGCTTATGTGTTCCCAGCACTGTCATTGCACGGGTGTGTACCAGCACAGATGTAAACATGAAGGCAAGATCTTTGTGGCATCTGCTGTCCTGAGCAGTTTGGAACAAAAAGGTCAACATTTTCCTTGAACCCTTTTTGGCAGTGCTAGCTGGGATAGGGAAATCCCAAACACAGAGCATGGACACAGTTGTCTACAAAGTTGTTCTTTCAAGATGTTTTATGACACGAGAGGGATGTTCCAAGAGGAGGAAAAGTTCACCCTCTTCTTACCTCTCCCCAGATGCCAACAGTGTCTCTGATGTCATTTTTACAGTAAGAGAGTTGTCTGATGCAATTGTTCACAGCAACACTGCTTTTTCCAGGAGCTAGATCTTCTTCTGCCATTTCTACCCAACCCAGAGATCGCACAGCAAAGCACTGAAAAGAAACCAGAAAATATCTGTCATGCAACAGAAACCAGACAGTTAAGGTTAAAGATCACCAGCTAGGAGGGGAACAAAATTAAGACCTTGTAGATGGGCTTATTCTCAAAGATAAGTAAATGAAAACATAATTTGTGAATTGCAAGGTGAAAACATTCAAAGAAGAATGCATGACTTGCTATGAAAAGTATCTGTGGAGGCAACAGTAATGCTTTTCAATAAAATACTTCTGTTTAATATAAAGAAGGAAACAAGGGAGCAGAAAATAGTACGACAGAAAAATAAAGGAAAAAGCACAACTACAGATAGAGTACAATTGAAATTTTAGCTGGGATCTAGAGCTCTAATTGAAAAGAAAGAAAATACTAGTGGATTATGTCTCTTGTGAGATACCCACTCACTGTCTGGCTTTTAACCAGAAAATTACACTTTTTTGTGGATTACAGCAATCACTTCTGCAGTAAGTTTAACTAAAGTAGCAAACAATAACAAATTCAAAGCACTAAGAAAAAGATAAGCTACCATAAGAGGAATGCAGACTTTTTCTAGAAGACATTAAAAATTACCTTTAAAAGACCCCACTTTAATTATACTTTTTTTTTTTTTAGCAGAAAGATGTTTAGCCAACCAGAGCACTCAGTTGGCAGAACAAGCCAAGGCGACATTACTTTGCACATATGGTGCTTTTTGCAAACAAAACAAAAGGGGAGAAATTGAATAGCACCATCCCTCCCTACATCTACTAGAGCAGAGAATAAAAAGCTTTAATTCTGAGAAAAAAACCCCATGCACATTTGCTCTCAGGTTTTATGGTGGGAGAAATACAGACCTTCCACTAAGTTAACAGCTGTTTGTCTATGAGACCAAGACTTGCTCCAGAGAATGTTACAGGAATCTCACTCCCAAACATCAACGCACAGCCAGCAATAGGCACAACAGACTGACTGTTGCACCTCCCTAACAGACACACCAAATGCTTAAGATGGTCCCTAAAGGTTCAGCAGTAGTAGACCAATACTAATTGTCCAGTGCTGCTGCCTTGTGCCACAGAGCCAGAAAGCAGACAACCATCCTGGATGGTAGGAAGGAAGGCAGCACCGGTGACTGCTGGGAGTCCTGCTGCCTCCAGCAGCACCCTGCCACACGGGCAGGCAGCTCAGGAGCAGCAACAGCAGGTCCATGCTAGAGCTACCAATTAATCCTTCTCCTTGAGATGCAATAAATAACTCAGCTTCAGAGTTCAAAAGCTGACACTGAATATTCATTTGCCACCTTCTAAAAAATGCTGTAAAGCCAGCAAGTAGATCAAGCTCACACACCATCACTAGCGTGCCATTTGGGAACAACTGTTCTCAAAAAGAAGCTATCACAAAACACCAAGGTATTTTAAATATGCATAATATGTCAACTTTGGCAAACTAAGGGAGGAATAATATTCACCAGTGAGTAAAAAGATTAATGAGTTTCTTCCTCATTTCCTTTAAAACTTCTCTCCTCCTTCAGCCTTCTTTCATTTTGCACATCTGCACTCATCCAAGCTCACTTCACCATGAAGGAAACCCAGCTTAAGAGTCTGCTTCCCATACCTCTGGTACCTACCCCAATGAGTCACTAATGATGCATCTCATCTCGAGCATCAGACAGCAAATACGCTCTGCAATTGTGTAAAACCCTTCAGTGAGTGTGACTAAAAAATTAAAGCCTTTGATGACTCCAGATTTTTTGTGGATTTTTTTTTTTCTTTACGAAGAAGGGAATCAACATGCAAATTCTCCCACGCTGCTCCCTGACCCAGCTCCACTGGAAACCCAGGGAAGTGCTGACTTTCAGTTCTACATGGACATGAAGTAGAAGGTGAAAGAGTAGACAAAGGAGAGTTCACCACTCAGGGGTGCTCTTCACTTCAGGGCTACACAAGATATTAAAATATCAACTTTTTAGCAATTATTACAGTTGTCTAATCTTAAGATTGCAGAATTGTTTCTGGCACATCAGATGTTCATGAATCTTGCTGAAAGTGCTGCTATACCCACTGGGGTATTAAATATTTATCTTTGCAAGCTTTAAAACCACCAGTTTTTACTGTACCAGAAGAAAGGGGTTTTTTTGATAAGTATTTAAATATTAAATTGAATAGCAGAATACTGGCACAGAGGAACATTTTCTAAATCATAAGAGAGGTGAAGAACTAAATATATACAACAAGCATACTGCTTCCTCATTACTCTTCATATCTCTACCACATCTGCAATTTGTTAGCTGCTTTCTGAACACAAGGACAAATATAGAATCACAAATGCTTTGGGTTAGAAGGGTTTAAGATGACAGAGTTCCAAACCCCCTGCTGTGGGCAGGAACACCTTTCACCAGTCCAAGACGCTCAGAGCTCCATTCAACCTATATACTCCTTGCACTGAACAGTGTGTATCTCAAGAAGGTCAAAAATGGTGAAAGACAATCACTTCAAACTGACAACAGGTAAATCTCTGATTAGTAAAGATGGTAAACTGTTTTGGTATTTTTTCCTGGTCTTTTTTATTTAAAAATTATTTAAAATTTATTTAAAATTCTCCAGCAGTGGCATCCACTGTATTTCTTCAGACCACTGTCATAACAGTACAGTGAGCTGAACAGGACAGTCTTGTTCACCCCACATATCCCCCTCCATGCAAAGGGCTTGGCTTCCTTCCCCACTTCCATTCCCTGTCGGTGCTTCCAAATTAGGAAGACCTGAGAAAACCCCATCTGGCAAGTTTTTGTTTGTGTATTTCAAAAGAAGCCGTTACCATAACTCAAATAAAATGCTTTAAAACAGCTTCATGAAAACAAACCAGTTTCCCAAATATTGCAAACAAAAACCTCTCAATCAACACCAGGGAGACTCAACACCCCACTGACAAGGCAACGCATGTACCGGAGTATACACATAAATGAAACTTTATTTTGCTCAAAATACACCTAAAGACCAAAACCCTTCTGTGTCCTGGTTAACTGAATACACGCTCTGATGTGACTCGGCAGTGATGGCAGACCTTCATGCAGATTTCTGAACTAGAAAATATGCGGACTCAGTATTGTGATACACACCACTCAGCACCAGTACACACATCTGTGGGGTGGGAGAGAGCTGGAAGTCTGAGCACACATGCCTGTGTGTCTGTCTCTCTCTGCATATTGCCAGCAGCTGGATTATAAGAATCCACTTCATGTTTTATTGCTGGTTGCTTTTTTTGCTCCCCTTCATTGCTTGACTTAGAGGTTCTCTTCTCTTTAAAATAAAAGAGCACAAAACCCAGCAGAAACAAACCACCTAGTGCCTCCAACCAGATATGACCTAATTTTTAGACCGTGGCTAGCTGAGTTAGCTGTGACAGCAGAATTGCTTAGTCCTCTAGCACACTAATACAGCATCATGCTTCCCTGGCTCCCAACGATGATACTCACAAGCCAAGAAACAAAGTACTTCCTTTGACCTGAAAAAGCTTTGCTAACACAACCTCTTTTCTTCTGGAACTAACATCTAGATTCAAACTAAGCTGAGCTGAAAACCAGAGTGCAGCTCTTCTTGATTATGAGCTCAATAAAACAAACATTCCTGGTAATGCCAGTTCGTTATGCACCTCTACTCAAGGCTCACAAATAATTACTGGCAAGTCATAATTATTGGCCTGTCATAATTTCAAAGTAATCCCAATGCCAACTTCTGGTTTACAGCAGACTACCTGATCTCTTTCTCTGTTAGAGAAAGTTTTCTGTGCCTAGTCAGACCGCCTGCTTGCCCCCAGACTCTTTTCAGAGCTGGCAAAAAGAAAACAGGTTTGAAAAAAACCAAACAAAGTTGATAAACACAGCAGGATAAAAGAGATTTAGGAATTGTATACTGTGTTTGGATCACTGCTGTTTGAAATTGGGAAGAGCAAAGATACTACCATGAACACTGTGTGGTTGAGAGAAGAGTATGGAAAAATGTCATTTAAACCATGGAATGTTAATAATCTTGTATTTTTATCTTCACTGGACTTTGCATTTCCTGCCTGGACACTGTGCAAAGAAAAGACCTAGGAAAAAAAGGTCACCTTATCACACACTACCCCATGAAAAGACAGATGAGAAAAAATGAAAACACAGGCATTGCTGCTCGGTTTTACAGTTCTGGGGAACCTATGTTTGCATGGCTGCAAATCCAATTAATGTTTCAAGGTAAATGATCTGTAACCAAAGAACTAAACTCATAAATGCTGTTGTCCAAACTCTGTAAAGAGCCATAAACCTCTCTAGCAGTGCAGTTCTGATCCAAAGCATTGCCTAAAGCTGGGGAGCTGTAGGATTGAAGAAATGAACAAACCACAGATTACACTTCTGCTCTTTGGCATTGCAAAACCTTCACCACAGGGTAGGGTTCTGCTCTGAAGCAGCTTTTCCAAAAAGCACTCCGGTAGGAGCTTTGGCAGGAATGCAGAACCATGATGAAGTCCTGCACACTGGCAAATGCACACACTGGCTGTTGCCCCGTGCAATGCTAAGCATGTACCATCAAAGAAAATGAAAATATTGAGAAAACCAAAGCAAATACAATCCCTTGCTAAACAGAGGAAAAGAGATCAACTGCACATGACTGATGGCAGAGTACTATTGGAAACGGGATGGGTCATAAGGACATGGGTAGAAAAGATCCAATTACAGGGAGAAAATTAATAGAACATCAGTTTGAGAACAAACTAATGTACATTACAAGACCACAGACAGATTACTTTTCTTATTAAACAGCTGCTGGCAGACACTATGAACATCTGTATTAAGCGCATGTTTGCCCTGATGCTTTAATTCTGTGCTACTTATTTCTTCTTTACTTCTGAGACTACAGGACTTGATTTTGAGCAGTTTCCCTTTGTTTCATTTTATGTTTTTCCTTTTCAAAGGTTATATCTGTCTGCAGACATACGTAAATCATACAGTACTTAATAAGGCCTTTATCACAGACCACTGAGCAGGCTT